GCCCTGCTCTCGCTCCCAGGGGGAAGCAGCTTCCCCTCCCTTCCCAGCGCTTCCCGGTTCCCATGGGGGAGGACCCCCCCTGCTCCCCCCTCCAGGGGTCCCCCACAAACTTGACACCGATCCCCCCAGGCCCTGGGCTTTGATTTAACTCCCTCAGTTGCGGGGTTTCTCCCCCCGGACCCCTCCCCGGACCCCGCCTCTGACAGGTCCGACCGGCGCGTCCCCTCGCCGGGCGCCTCTTCCCCGGCTACACGGGGCCGGGGAGGAGGCGGGGGTGGGCTTGTGTTTTGATTAATATGGAAATAAAACGCAGAAATAGCAGCAGTACTTAGCTTCATTGCTTCAGTTTAGAGATTTATTGGTGAGGAGATAAACACTAGGCTGGGGGCGAGCTCGGTAATTCACGGTCCCCATCAGTTATTGCCAAATGAGCAAATCGTTTTTCTTTGAAGCCGCAGAGGGAAAAAAAAAATATGGGGGAAAAAAAGAGTATTTTTTTTAATAGGCTGCTACCCCCTCCCCCGGGTCTGGCCCTCAGGGCAGCCGGGCAGCACCCGGCTGCCCCCCTCGGGGCCCTACGCTCCGAGCAAAACGAATAAGGGGTTTAATCACGGATTCCTTCCTCTTAAAACTCATGTGTCCTGCTCTGCCTCCCTCCAACTTTCTTCTGTAGTTTCCCAGGAAAATTTGCTCCTGTCCAATTTTTTTTTTTTTTTATTCTTTGCAGCCCCATTTTCCTTCCTGCAGAAGCAGGTAGACATGGATTTGAGCTGGGAAGAGCTGTCGCAAGATGACATCATGCTGCTGCCGAGGAAAACCAAGGGGCAAGGCTGAGAGGGGGAGTATAATCCTTTATTAGATGCAGGGTTATTGGGGAAAATGGGCACTTTGGGGGCATGCAAACCCATTCTCAGGTCTGAAACAGAAACAGCAAACTAGAAGCTACAAGCTAAATACTAAAATGTAAGCAGGCATCTTTCACTGGACTTCCATGAAATCTGTGAATTTGAGTTTGTTGCTTTGCATTGTGTCATTAGAAATGCCTTGAGACACACAGCCTGTGCTGCC